GGCAGCAGCCCCCGGTGCAGGCTGGAGCCCAGCACCAATCCTGCCACCAGGGAGGCTGTGGGAGGTGGGAGGTGTGTGCATACACGTTAAGCCTCCTGACCACAAAGCGACCACGTCTCTGACCTGTGTGCAGGGTGGGTGGAAGGGATGGGGGTGTGCTCACAGGTCTTGTCTCATTGATTTTTGGGTGCTAATGCCCAGCACCAGGCACTCGTGTCCATCCCTGCTCCACGTTCTGCTGGTGCAGTCAGAGATGTTCTTCTGCACGTGTGGAGTGTAACTGGGTCTCTTTCTGCCTTCAGCCCTGTTAAGTAGATGATCACAACTGTTCCTAAGCCTAGAGCAGCAGGAGCTCTAACCAACCCAAAACTCTGTTGCTCATTTGCTCCCATCCCTTGAGGCCCATGTCTGTACAGTACAAAAATAAGAGAGACTCTAAAAGATTCATCAGGAGGGAATGGCTGACGTGCTGGGGCTGGGGCTAGGAAATGGACCGTGTCCTCTGAGCTCAGCACATGGCCAGGACAGGCCCCTCTGCAGAGGAGGAGGCTGCTGTGTGCTCCCTGCACTGGGGGCTTAGGAGGCTGGTGCAGTCCCTGCCGTGCAGCAGCAGGACCTCCAGGCTGGAGGAGTTCCAAAGCCTGGCCTGAGGCTTCGTGACACGACCCTGGCACGTGGCAGTCAGGGAACAGGGCAGGTGCTCATAAAAATGTTGATATTTCTTCATAGGGCCCAGGATCATAGAATCAGGGAATGGTTTGGGTGGGAAGGGACCTTTAAAGCTCATCTGGTCCAACCCCCTGCAGGGAGCAGGGACATCCCCAGCTAGAGCAGGGTGCTCAGAGCCCCGGCCAACCTCCCCTGGAATGGTTCCAGGGATGGGGCAGTGACCACCTCTCTGGGCAGCCTGGGCCAGGGGCTCACCACCCTCAGTGTAACAAAATTCTTCCTTCTCTCTAGTCTAAGTCTCTCCTCTTCCAGTTTAAAACCATCACCCCTTGTCCTGTCATTGCAACAGGCCCTGCTTAAAAATCTGTCCCCATCCCTCTGACAGGCCCCTTTAAGGACTGCATGTGCATCTTCATTAGTTTGGGGAACAAAGGCACAGTTTTGGCCCCATTAATGTGGGCAGCCTGGAGTGGGTTGTTCCCATGTGTGGATAAATAACCATCTTTTGCCTTCATTCCTTTCTTCAGCTCCTGCAAGCTCCCCTCCTTGCCTTTCCTCAGCCGTGTCTCCATCCAGATCTCTGGCCTTTATTCCAGGCTCTTTTATTTCTGCCTGGCTCAGCCCTGAAGCTGCCCTGGAAGGCTCTGAAGTGCTTTTGTTGCTGCAGTTGGCAGGAGCGAAGCCTTCCAGGCTGCATTAGTGCTGCTTCAGGCTGGCAGGCAACAGATGGAAAATAAACTAGTGCAGGAGCTCAGGGGATGGGAACGGTGCTGCAGGCAATGGAGGAGGAGGGTGGGCAAGCAGCAGGGTACAGAGGATTTCTCCATGCAGCCTTAGGCTTTCACAGGGGTGGCAGGGGAGGCTGCCCATGTGATGGGTCACAGGGACTGTGCTCCAGGCTGGCTGGGGGCCCTGTGGCTTCTCTGACTTGCTTTGTGTCTCTTGCTCTCACACCAACGTGGAGCTTTTTGCTTCTGCCTCCCAAGTTGCCCCTTTCCCTTTAGGGATGGTTGCTGCAGAGAGGAAAGGACTAGAAGCACCTGGAGCCTTTCTGGGATGTCTCCAAGGGAGATGTTGTGTTTTGGTGGCACTTTCAGTGATCCCTGTGTGGGCAGAGGAAAATGAGGCACAGGGTGGCTGGGACCTGGCAGAGGTTTCTGGAGAAGACTGTGGGATTTTTGGCTCCCTGATGTCTGGCTGGAGGTGCAGACAGTGCTCCCTGCAGAGGCAGGGGTGAAGTGCTCCATCCAGTCCTGGGGCTGGAGACCTGGGGAGGAGGGTGAGCAGAGCAGGAGGGCTGTGTGGATCCCAGCACGGCGGGAGGTGAGGTTGCTTTCTGCCGGGTTTGGAGGGCTCAGTTCATTTCCTTTCTGTTTTTGCCCTGTGGATAGTCCCATACTCTGACTGGTTGACTGCACATCAGCTAATTGCAGGAATCAGAGTTTCCAGGTGCTCTGAATATATGCAGGTTTAGGACTAACTAGCTGGAAAAAAAGTTGAAAATTCGTTTGACAAAGGACTTTGAGGCCGACTATGAGCAAATGATTCCCTTTGAATTACTCAGCCAGATGCAGCTTTAATGTGCTCACGCCAACAGTTCCTGGACACCCATCCCTGTTGTAAATAGCACAAAACCCTGCCAAGGGGTGTTAATCTTTCCATTTGATGGCTGTGTTTGTGTGCTGGGAAGAATGCAAATTAACTCTGACGCTGAGAGCGGCCGGGGTGATTTTCTGCAACAGGCTGGGATGAAATTTCATTTCCCTCTTCTTCCCAAACTAGGAGCTGGCCTTGAAGTCTTTGGGAAGTGAGGGGCGGTTTCTTTTTGCCTCTCTGGACACGAACAACGACCTGTACCTCAGCCCAGAGGAGTTCAAGCCAATAGCTGAGAAGCTCACGGGTGGGTATCTGTCTGCCTCGCAGACTGAGCAAAAGCTGAAGAGAACACACTCAACAGTTTTAATTCACAGCTTAATTTTTTTGTCTGGGTGCTGGTTTGGGTCTTATTTACATGAAGAGAGTCTGCTGGGCTTTACGTGGTTTTGAAAAGGCTTAAGCACTAGACATGGCTTTCACAGAGAGTTTTTATAAGGCAGGAGATCCCGTTGCTGGACTAGCAAAGTACATAAGTAACTTTGTCTAGAGCTTAAAGGGGATTTGGGATGGGTGAGTGCAACAAATACAGCTCAGCCCAGGCTGGGCCAAAACTATTAGTGAGTCACAGCACTTCATTCTGACACTGCTCTGGCTGCAGCAGCCTCTCTCAGATAGCAACTGGGAGAGATCATCTTTGGAGAGGGTGTCAGAGTGTGGCCAACATCTCATGGTGGTGCCAAGCAGGAGGAAGTGTGGCGATGGTGATGTACAGGAGAGCTGAGAGTTGAAATACAGCCAGTTGTTTGTTTGGGCTGTGATGAATTGGCTAAAGTGGCCACAGGGGAAAGGACCTGGGGGGAGGGATTGGTCAACAGGCAGCTGAAGATGAGCCAGCGTGTGCCCAGGTGTCCAAGAAGGCCACCAGCATCCTGGCTTGGATCTGCACTAGTGTGGCCAGCAGGACTAGAGCAGGGATTGTCCCCCTGGGCTCGGCACTGGTGAGAACACACGTTGAATCCTGGGGTCAGTTTTGGGCCCCTCACTCCCAGAAGGACCTTGAGGGGCCGGAGCGTGGCCAGAGAAGGGCAATGAAGCTGCTGGGGAAGGGTCTAGAGCCCAAGTGTGGGGAGGAGCAGCTGAGGGAGCTGGGGGTGCTGAGCCTGGAGCAAAGGAGGCTCAGGGGAGACCTTCTGGCTCTGCACAGCTCCTGACAGGAGCCTGGAGCCAGGGGGGGGTCGGGCTCTGCTCCCAAGGAACAAGCAACACGACAAGAGGAAACAGCCTCAAGTTGCCCCAGGGGAGGTTTGGGTTGTCCCTGAGGAACAATTTCTTGCCCTGGAGGGTTGCCCAGGGCTGTGCCAGGCTGCCCAGGGCAGTGGTGGAGTCCCCACCCCTGGAGGGGTTTCCAAGCCGTGGAGATGTGGTGTGAGGGACACGGGGCAGTGGGGACCTGGCAGGGATGGGGTGACAGTTGGACTCAATGATCTTAAAAGTCTCTTCCAACCAAAACGATTCTGTGATTCTATGATTCTGATCCCTCCTTGGTGAAACGAGGCTGCTCAACTGAGCCATGGAGTTTAGAGAGTTGTCCCCTAAAAGGAAGGGCTCCCCTTTAATTCATGCGGCCGAAGCTGGTTTCTGAGGTGGGTCTGGGTTCTGGACAGCTGGGAAACTCCCAGTGCTCCTGGATTTGCCAGGGTAAATGTGTAATCACTTCAGAAATGCTTAAAAGGGGAGGGAGAGGAAACAGCTGCTTAAATTCCTGTCCCTTTGTCTAGGGGTTGCTCCCATCTCAGAACTGGAAGAGGAGGAGACGCCTGATGCGGGCGGGGAGACGTTGTCCCTTGTGGCCAAATTCCAGCCCTTGGTCATGGAAACAATGACCAAGAGCAAAGATGGTTTCTTGGGGGTAGGTATCACACGGGCTGTGGGTGGCCAGAAAGTCTGGGATAAACACACCCTGTGGGCTGGGAACGTCAGCTGGAAGGGAAGTGCTGGTGTCTCAGGAGGGGAGGTGGTCTTGCTCGAGCCTCTGGGCTCTGCTCTGAGGAGCCAGCTCACCCCTTTCAGCAGCACTTCCTTGTTTTCAGTGCACTCAGCAGCTCTGTGCCCCTGTTGCCCTTCCTGGGAAGCTCAGAGCAGAGCTGAGTCCAAACAGTGCTGTTCAGTGGCATGTTCCCCTCTCTCCCATTCCCTGTTACTCACATAACTGAAAGATGACAGGATTATTTGGTGGTGTTCAGGGCAGTAGGAAGAACTTAAAATGTGCTCTATTTTGTTTCCCCCTAAAATCCTGCTTATCACCAGCTCTCCTGTGTGTTTGAGGAGTCTCTGACAGTGTCTTTTCTTCACAGATCTCTCACGTTGCACTCTCTGGGCTGAGGAACTGGACTGCCCCAGCAGTCCCAATGAGTGTCATGTTTGCCAGGCAGTTTAAAGCCTTTCTTCCTCCAAAGAATAAACTGGACCTGGGGGATCCGTGGTGGATAATTCCTAGTGAACTGAACATCTTCACTGGGTACCTTTCCAACAACAGGTTTTACCCTCCGCCTCCCAAGGGCAAAGAAGTGAGTTATGAAACTTAATTTCTATATAGCTGAGAGGTGGTTTGTGTGAACGTTCTGCCTTACAGCCCAGAATAATCACAGAGTGGACAAGGCTGCTGTGTTGTGTCTCCCGGGGCTTTCTAAGGAAGCAAAAAGGCTGCAACATACAGACAAGAGCACCTCCCCCTAAACAGGAGATCAAACTGAGAGCAAGCAGAAGCTCTGGGTGTCTGTCATGGCCAGATGAGGCTGATTTGAGTAACTTCATCTCCCTTTAAGTGTTGGGGTTTTTAGCTCCATCTTTTCCAGACAGGGAGTGGAGAGGGTTGCTGAGAAAGAAAGGAGAAAGGTGATGGTGCCTTGAGGAGCTTATTGATCACATACTAACTTCTCCAAGTCTTAACTGGTATTGATGGTGGCAGCCTCCTAGATCAGTGTTCCGTGCTCAGACATTCACCTGACTGGGATGATGGAAACTTCCAAACAATGGGAATAGCATAAAAATTGTGGAGGACCCAGTTATTTTTAAAACACTCTCTTGCTTTATCTCCTTGTTTTGTCACTGGGTTGCTCCAAGCTAGCTTTTAAGTCATAGCAGTTCTCCTGCCTTCCTGAGCTGGTGGGGGGATACTTTGGAGCTGCAGCTGACCTGTGGTGGAGGAACTGTTCTCATTTTTTGCTCTCTGACACTTCTTCCCCTAGATGATAATCCACAGGCTCTTGAGCATGTTCCACCCACGCCCCTTCGTCAAGAGCCGCTTTGCTCCGCAGGGAGCTGTGGCCTGCATCCAGGCCATCAGCACCTTCTACTACACCATCGCCTTCAGGTAGGGCCGTGGGTCCAGGGTGTTGGAGGAGTGTTTGGGGGCACTTCTGAATTTGTTCCTTATCTCAGGGGACTGAAGAAGGCTGCTGTGAGCCCGTGGTAAAGTGCATGCCTGTCACTGTGTGTGTGGTCCTGTTCCCAAGCAAGACCAGATGTGTCCTGCCTGGGAGGGAGGTGAAGCAGTGTGAGGAGAGGGTGGGTCAGAGCCAGCTCTTGCCCATGTGTGATGCTGTGCTGGCACCCAAAGGGGGCACCCGTGCTCCCAGTGTCACTGAGGCCCTGGTGAGGCAGGGACTGCTGCCCAGATGCAGGACAGCAGCCATTCTCCATCACCCTTGGTTTGGAGTTATCCTCGCCTGAAAGGGGAGAGTCTAATTAGGAAGAAATTTGTTAGACTGTGGTTAACTGGGGGGTGGAGCACCTTTCCAAGGGAGGAGTCTGGGGAATTGTTCTGTTGTTTACTGGGGCTGTTACATGCAGGTTTTCCATGCCTGACCAAGCAGGGAGGGAGGCTGAAGGGGTCTGAGTCTGTTCCTGTGTTTTGAGGAGTGATTATGGAATTCATCCTTCCTGCATGGACACTGAGTGCCCAGGCCCAGAAGGCAGTGATACTGGAGATGATCCTGACCCGGGGGATCTGCTCCAGCCTTTTACTTCCTTCACTGTGTGACATGAAAAGCTTTTTGAACTGAACCTCTGCCCCAGTTTAGCTTCTTAATTTCTGGTGCCTGGAGGTAACTTCTCCCTGCTGTCATCTGCAGTGCATGATCCATTCCCTCCTCACGGCACTGCAGCTGGTGGCTCCTTTCTCATTTCAGGATCCATGCTGAGTTCCAGCTGAATGAGCCACCAGACTTCCCCTTCTGGTTTTCCCCAGGCCAGTTCACAGGTCACATCATCCTCTCCAAGGACTCCTCCCACGTCCGAGAGTTTAAGCTCTTTGTCCCTAACAACAGGTACAGCTGTTCCTCTCTTCCTGGGTGCTGAACAGCCATGGGGATTGTTGCCAGTGGAGACCAGTGGAACCCAGGGGCTCTGGGATCCCATCCTGTGCAGGACTGAGTGTGGGGTGTACAGAGGGGCTGGTGGGCTCTCTGAAGACAGGAGGGTGGTGACAGCCCTGTGCTGTCTCTGGTGTGTGGACACCCTGGCCCATGGAGGGAGGGCAGATCTGCAGCCTGAGCTTTGGCTGGGCTGGTCCTGCTGTTTGCTTACCTGGTTTCCCCACACGTCCTTCTCTGTCACCGGTCACCGTGCCCTCAAGTCTCCAGATACAGTTGCTCCCTAAACTGATTCTGATGGAATTTTTCAGGAAGAGCTGTTTATCAACAGGTCTGGGGGGCATCTGAGGCATGGGATAGGGAAGGACAAAGGGCAGAGGAGGGACCGGGGCAAAGCAGGGCAGAGGTTGCTGGGGACACGGGGTTGGGGATGGGTGGCCTTGCACAACCTGGCTGCCACTGGCACGTGTGTCAGCTGAGCGTGTGAGCCTGGGCTGTCCTGTGCCAAGCAGCTTCAGGGGAGGGAAGAAATGGCAGGGACAGGGGGAGACACACAGGGATGGGGAATTCAGGTTGTCCTGGTGGTGTCCTAGAGACAGGCAGCAGCCTCTTGATTAGCAGCCTTGCTGCAAGCACTGCTCCCCTTGACCTGTCCCACCAGTCCCTGGCTATGGCAGGGACTCTGGCAGGTGTCAGGTACCTGTTGGAAGTTGCAGCAGGCTCCTTGGCTGTTTGATGGATGAGCTCATGCTTTTCAGCCAGGTCCCTGGAAAATCTGAGTGAACTGAGCTCTGCAGTTCTCTCTAAAACCAGTAAATGTGTCTCAGCTAGTCGCTGAGGATCCTGGACCCATTTCAGGGTCTGATTCACTCACTAGTAGCTGTCACATGGTCCTTGGAGGGTGGGGAGAGATGGGCAGGGAGTGGAGAGCAGCCCCCAGCAATCCTGGGGCCTGGCTCAAAGCACCAAAGTTCAGCAAAGCCTGGTGCTCTTGCTTCAACATACTTCTTGCTCAGTGTTAAGGTTTTGTGTGCATAGCTTTGCACTGGCTCTTTGCTGCTCCCTGGCAAGCAGCTGGAAGTGTTTCAGGGGAAAGAAGCTTCAAACCTCTTCGCCCATGACAGCTGGAGAGAAAATTCTATTATAACATTACCCTGGTGACTTAATCCCTGTGGCTCTGTCAGCACATTCGTTACAGCAAGCAGACACTTAGGGCTCTGCCAGCAACCCCTTACAAAAGCCTTCTGCTTCCAAAAAAACACTTTAAAAAGTTCTGTAGGATCAGAATGTGCAAGTTAAGTGCTGGGAAGGAAGGGGGAGCACAGACTTCTGTCTCTCCTGTACTTTGACAGTACTCAAAGGTGTGAGCACATTTGCCCAGAGTGTTGGGTGACAGCCTGGGCCCTGATCCAGGAGGGATCTGGTGTTGCTGGCCTTGTGCAGGGAACCTGGTGGTCTCCAAGGAGCCAGAGGCTCTGGGCTTCAGTGCTGACCCTGCAAGAGGAGCATTGGTTGTTCTGATTTCTTTGGGGTTTCTCATACACAGTTGTGTGGCCAGCAAGACTAGAGCAGGGATGGTCCCACTGGGCTTGGCACTGTGGAGGCCACACCTCGAATTCTGGATTCAGGTTTGGGCCCCTCACACCTTGAGGGGCTGGAGCGTGGCCAGAGAAGGGCAACAAAGCTGGGGAAGGGTCTGGAGCCCAAGTGTGGGGAGGAGCAGCTGAGGGAGCTGGGGGTGCTGAGCCTGGAGCAAAGGAGGCTCAGGGGAGACCTGGCTCGGCACAGCTCCTGACAGGAGCCTGGAGCCAGGGGGAGGTCGGGCTCTGCTCCCAAGGGACAAGGGACAGGACAAGAGGAAACGGCCTCAAGTTGCCCCAGGGGCGGTTGAGGTTGTCCCTGAGGAACAATTTCTTGCCCTGGAGGGTTGTCCAGGGCTGTGCCAGGCTGCCCAGGGCAGTGGTGGAGTCCCCACCCCTGGAGGGGTTCCCAAGCCGTGGAGATGTGGTGTGAGGGACACGGGGCAGTGGGGACCTGGCAGTGCTGGGGGATGGTTGGACTCCAGGATCTGAAAGGTCTCTTCCAACCCAAACAATTCTGTGACTGTACACAGCTGTAGCCTTGGGTGACTCTGAACGTTCCCCCTTCACCTCACAGGTCTCTGAACGTGGACATGGAGTGGCTGTACGGGGCGAGTGAAAGCAGCAGCATGGAAGTGGACATTGGCTACCTGCCCCAGGTCTGTGGTCACACCCATCCCCCTGTGCCTGCAGCCCCCTGGCAGGGAGTGAGGCTGCAGTGGCCCTGAGCTGTGTAGCACCAGTTGTCCCTGTTCTTTAGAGCTTTGTCTTGGACATTTCAATATTACAATATAATCTCTGTTGATCTGTGTGTGTCCTCTGCAGCTGTGTGCCTCCCTATTGCCAGTTCCTCTGATATTTTTCCCCTCTGTGTGGGTTGAATCCTAAGCTTCTGGAGTCACATGGCTGTTTCCATTTTTAAAAAGTTGTCTGACAGGCAGTGGGGGCAGATTAGGAGCTGAACCCAGGCCCTGAGCCCAGAGGGGTGTATGAACAACAGTGTGTCTGAATTTAGAAGCTGCGTGAGGTTATTCTGTTTTGTGGTAATCCCAGCTCTTGGGACAGGAAGCACAAATCAGGATTTCAAATGTCTGAATTTAACAGTCCCATTTTCTCCTAAACTAGATCCATGTTTCTTTTTAATTGGCAAAAGTCAGGAAAAGAGACTTACAAAATAATTTCAGATGTACCAGAGCACTGAAGGACAGGGAGGCTCCCAAACAGCTCCTGCACCCTCTCGTGGCTAACCAGCAGCAGAGGGGCTGTGCTGGTGCCATGAGCAAGAGCTCCCAACGAGCCCTGCAGGTCCCAGGGGTTTTGAGGATCTGATGTCCCACAGTCAGAAATCTCCACTGGGAAGGTGGGAACATGGAGTGAACTGGTCTCATGCATTTCCAGTCTAGTGAGGCCAATCAGACAATAACTGAAGGAAATGAAGTTGCTTTGCTGCTATTTCCCAAGAAAACACACCTGCAACTGTTAAAGTGCAGCTCCAGGAGACAACAGATCAAGCTGTATCCTCGTTAGAAGCTGCACTGTCTTATTTTGCATCTTTATCCTGTCCTGGAGCACAAAAAAAACCAGGAGTGGGATGTCTGCAGTGTCCAACTCAGCCTGTTCTCCTGCAGATGGAGCTGGAATCGACAGGGCCTTCGACCCCCTCTGTGATCCATGATGAGAACGGAAATGTGATTGACAGCAGAGATCCCTCAGGGGAGCCCATCCAGTTTGTGTTTGAAGAGATAACCTGGCAGCAGGAAATCCCCTGGGAAGAGGCAGCCCAGAAGCTGGAAGTGGCCATGTATCCATTTAAGAAGGTGAGGAAGGGGCCGGGCTCTTTCTTGGCACGTTTATTTGGGGCAGGTCATCTTCGGTGAGACATCCAGTCACCTTGAGAAGCAGCAGAAGCCAGAGGCCACAGCCTGATCAGCATTCAGAGCATTGTGAGGGGCTCCCAGGCAGTGTGTGTGGCTGGCTGGGTTTCCAGTTTCCAGCCGAGGGGGCACAGCAGCTCTGAGAGGCCCGTGGGGGCTGCACAGCAGCACAGGCAGGGCCAAAGCCTCGACAGCGTGTCCCAGGCTCCTGTTGTAAATGCAGGCTCAGCCTTCCTCCCTCTTATCAGCAGCTGCCGACACGAGTTCTGAGTGGAGCAGGTGACTGTGCTGCTTACAAATGCTGTTCCTCTGGCGTTCCTTTTGCAACGTTCAGCTGCCTTTGGACCAGGCTTTCCTTATCAGCAGAGAACACACAATCCGCCTGCGCCTCCGCGGCCCACGGCGAGACAGGAATTTATAGCACTGGGTGACCCAAACTACAGAACCTGCCAGTAGCCCATGGAGCAGATGGCTACTGCCTGTCACTGCTTCCCTGGCTGAAGGGACACGTTTCAGTGGCTCTCTCCTTGTGCCTGAGCTTACAAATGCCCCTCCGAGCTGCCAAGATGTTCATAAAGTTCCCCTCATTTGAGTGATTGGGACGATCTCTGCACATGGTCCCTCACAGACAGTTTTTAAGCTGTTTCAGTGAGGTTTTATAATATCTCCAGGCCAGATTTACCAGGCTGCTGAGGTGCGTTCACAGGCAGCCTGCCCACAGGGGTGCAGGTGCCTTTTGCAGTGTGTGAAGATGGGGCTCTGTAGGGGCTGGGAGGAGCCCACGTGCTGTGAGGGGCTCACTGCAACCTCCCCAGGAGATGGAGTTGTCCCTGGGGGTCCCACTCACTTGTTTGCTTTAATCCACAGGATATGCTGCAGATTAAACTCCCTGTTTGTCTCCTGTGGGATGTGGTGGGTCTGGTTCCTTCAGACCCTGCTTGTTTTGAGATGGGCTGTTCTGTGTCTGTGTCTCAAGCTGTCTCTCTGCCTCCAGGTCTCCTATCTGCCCTTCACACAAGCTTTTGAGAGAGCAAAAGCAGAAAAGAAGCTGGTGCACTCGATCCTGCTGTGGGGTGCCCTGGACGACCAGTCCTGCTGAGGTGAGGACATTCCCAGCATGGCTCTTGTTCAGGCTCTGAGAAGAGCTGGGGGCCAGGCAGATGGTCAGGAGCCAGCAGTAAATGTTGTGTTGCTTGTTTTGGCATTGAAGGTGCTGAATGGGAAAGGGCTGGAAATGGGCAATTATTGATCAGAGCTTAGATCCCCAGTGGCAGGATCAGACCTACTGGAGACAATCCCTGGACTAATTCAGGGAGGCAGTGGAGGGTGGGAGGGGGGTAGTTCTCTTCAGTCTTGTCTGCCCTAAAAACTGCAGTGTGTATGAGCTCTGCTTGACACAGAGAGGCACTCAGGGTGGATATCTGCAGCCCTGACCCTCTCCCAAACACCCAACCAGTCAGCTTCCATGGCAAGGGGCATCCCGTGGCCTTGCAGCTGGTTGTGCTCTGCTCTGCTGAGTCCTCTCTGCCAGCAGCACGCACGGGAAACAACAAGCTGTGAAAAACTGCCAGCAAAGGATTAAAATGGGCCAAGCTGGGGCAGCTGCCACAGCAGCCGGAGCGGTGACATTGTGGTGGCATCAGACACGGGCACGGGCAGCTCCAGGAGCACAGCAAAGCACTGTCTGCCTCTGCCCCTGCCAGGTTCGGGGCGGACTCTCCGGGAGACCGTCCTGGAAAGTTCGCCCGTCCTCGCCCTGCGGAACCAGAGCTTCGTTAGCAGCTGGTCACTGGTGAAGGAGCTGGAAGAGCTGCAGGTGAGCCTGGCACCCACATCTGGGGGTGGGGAACGTGGACAGAGCTTGGCACAGGGGTGGCAGCAGGAGCAGGGAGCTTGCACCTGGGCCAGAGGGGGATTTTGGTTCCAAGTCCTTCATGGCCTAGTGATTGCAGGGGTCGAGCAAACACCAGATGGAGGCAGGGTAAGAAAATGGCACGATGACCCCATGGGCTCTGTCGTGGTGCCAGGATTAAAAGCTAAACCAGATGCTTTGCTGTGAGACAGCCCTGTCCAAGGCCGTTTGCGCCATCAACAAACTGACTTCTGGGGAACCCAGTCAGCAGCCAAATACTGTCTGACTGTCTGAACCCTGAGTCTCCTGAGTGCACCTTTCCCCACTTAGGAGCCTGTCTCTGAGCCTGTGCTGTCAGCTGGGGTCAGTCATGGGGCTGGAGACTCTGGGAAAAGCTGGGGTCAGGCTGTTGGTGTGCCTGGGAACTGCCAGTGTTGGGGTGATTTTATTGTTCAAGGAGAAAAACTGCAGCTGAAAAGGGAGGGGGGGCCTGACTGAAGGGGAACAGTAAAACAGATGGAGAGAATGGAACCACTTACTACCATGCTTCCACCAGAGCAGCTCTTTGGTCTCCCCCTTCCTCCTGTGTTTGAGGTACTCCCCCCTGTGCTGTTCTGCTGGTTTTGGTGTGTGCAAGCGTGTTATTTTGGGATCTCCTTACAGAGCAACAGAGAGAACGAGTTCTACAGCAAGCTGGCTGCCCTGCACCTGGAGAAATACAACTTCCCTGTGGAGATGATCATCTGCCTCCCCAACGGCACGGTGGTATGTCCCTTACCCCTTTAGCTGGGCTTGGCTCTTCCCCTCAGAACGTGCCCTTTGCAGGGCCAGCCCCCAAAGCAATTGTCCACTCCCCCAGCCATGCCCTGGCTCCTCAGGCCTTTGTGGGGCCATGGTCCCCCTCGGTGTTGTGCTACAGACACACAGCAGCTCCACCAAGAAATCTGAAACAAATGTCTTTTTATTCAGAGATTTATGCTGAATCAGCATTTGCAAACTGTTAGAGGTTTGTTTGTTACAATCTTGTCACCTGTGTCCTGCTCAAGGCCAAGGCAGTGGTTGGGGTTGAAAGTCTCCTCTCCTTGTGTGTTTTCTGTCCCAGGTTCACCACATCAATGCCAACCACTTCCTGGATATTACTTCTATGAAGCCTGAAGATGTCGAGAGCAACGTCTTTAGTTTCTCAACCAATTTTGAAGACCCTTCAACTGCAACTTACCTCCAGTTCCTGAAGGAAGGACTGCAAAGAGCAAAACCCTACCTGCAGACCTAAAAACAAAGGCACCCGAGTGCCCCACAGAGATGGCCAAAGACTTCAGAGATCTATTTTGATTACAGCAATTCTTCCTCATCCTCACGCCAGACGCTGATGTTCAGGTGCAGACAGTCCCAGGACTGGGGCTGTGCTCTGGGTACTGGTTTGAGGCCAAGTGATACCAGTTTACACAATCTGCCCTTTTTGAGTCCAGGCAAATTTTTACAGGAGTGGAAATACTTGAATCTATAAACGTTCCTGGCACATACGCCTTGGTTTGCCACCCACCCTCCCGTTCTCCCAGCTCCTGTCCTGCCTCTGTGGTGCAGCTCCTGTAACAGCCACACCCAGCGTCACCTGAAGCCCCTGGTCTGGAGGACTGGACTCTGTTGGGACACACAACAGCATCGCCGTTAGCCCTGAACACTCGTGGTGAACCCTGGGGGCTCCAAGGCAGGACCCAGCCCGGGTGGGGAGCTCCCTCCTGGAGCTGGTGTCCTCCAGCTGTCCCTGGCAGCGTGGCTCTGAGCTGTCCGTGTGGGTGGTGGCTCTCCAGGATGGCACCTGGTGACAGCCGTGGCCACCGGCGTGTAACGGGGCCGTGGCTGCTGACGTGTGGCCGTGAGCGAGGAGGTGGGAGCTGGAGCTCTGGAGAGGCCTCCTCCCAGCAGTGTGTGAGGTGGGGTGGGACAGTGGTCTCACTTACTCAGGTTCTTTGCATCTGAGGGAGGTGCTGAGGTTCACACAGTGAAATTAGGAACAGAGACCAGCTCAGAGGCATCAGGGTGGATGAACTCAGGGGAGGAGGTGCCAAAGCCCCCGTTAGATGCCCCAGTGCAGTCTGTGCACCCCAGGCTGTGGGGACAGGGCGTGAGCAGCCCCCACCCCACCCAGCCCAGGGCCCTGTTCTCCCAGTGTCCCCTCGGAGGTGCTGAAATGCTCCATCCTCGTTTGCTCTGAGCTTCCAGGTCACAGGGAAGGATGAACCGTGATGAAGGTCCCTTGGGGAACGAGAGGTCCCGTGTTGTCCTGAGAGCATTCACTGGTTGAGCTGAGCAGTTTTAAAAACCACCAGTGCTACAGAAATTTTCAGGAGATTTTTCCAAACTGTCCCTTCTCCAGAACCACCCTGAGCTGTTGCTCCTGCTCTGTACCAATGCCTGGCTACAGAGTGAGTGTAATTTGGAGAAAGAAAGGTTAAATGAGACAGGTTTTAAGGCATATTTGTAGACAGGTGAGGAGACAAAGCATCTGCAAGAGATGGCTGCAGACAGCCATGGTTGTTGATGCTTTCTCTGCTCTCTGAAGCACAATTTTGTTGGACCAAATCGAATAGGGGAAGGCCTTTGGGGGTTTTTTGGGTTGTTTTTGTTTAGGGTTGTTGGTCTGATTTTTTTTTTGAAGGAGAGTTTTCATTCCTGGGCTCCAGGACCTGTGAGGATGGTGATCTTCACCAGGGATAGTGATACCCTGTGCCCACCCTGCCCCAGCCCTCCCATCTGCACCCGTGGCAGGACACTGAGCTTAGACAGGCCTCTGGGCTGAACCAGTGTAGCTTCACTAATTGCTCTAGTGAGATTAATTACCCCTGGGATGTTTCTCAGTATCAGCTTTATAACTATGCATTAGCTCTGCACTTTTCTCACTCCAAGGGGCCTCCAGTGACAGGCTTGGATCTGGCAGCTCTTGCAGCTGCAGAAGTGCCAAAGCCTCCAGGCAGCGTTTGAGCTGCAGCAGCAGCGGCCAACTTGTCCCTTCAGGGGACTTTGGTCTCATCCCTTCAGGGGACTTTGGTCTTGCCTGTTTGGGACAGGAGAGCACCTCGGTGTTCCCAGCGAGCTGCAGGGCTCTCACAGCCTGCCCAGAGCCCCTCGGAGAGCTCCCGGGTTGGTGGCATTCAGGGTGAAGGGGTTAGTCTGAGCAGCGGCAGAAGGAGCAGAACCCAAAGAGGGGTTCGGGGGC